CAGGCTTCGCCTGCCAAAGGCTCTGGTGGTGACGTCATCTTGGGCTTCATGGTGACCTCCGTCTTGCCGTCCTTCTGGTATTGGTCTTGTTGCACTGATATGGAAACCTTTGCTTGATGCCTTGATACTCCGCGCCTGCGCCTGCTTCCTTAGAACCAAAGAGGAAATAAGGATGTTGCACGCACTGGCGCCCGCCTGGCCTTGGTCGTCATGGCTCACGTCACTAGAACCTCGCGAGGTTTGTCGTGCCTTGATCTCTCCACCCCTCATGAGCCTGCCTGGTGAGGCCACTTCTGAGGAGGTCTTGTGTCGTCCACCTTGCGAGGCTTGGCCCCTCACAAGGGTCTTTAATGTCTTGTTGATGAAGATGGGTCGTACGGGCCCGCTCGTAGAGCCACGCCGTGGGCCGCAGGCAGGCAAGTCTGGGGACCCCCGTTCCTAGAACGGCGACAAAAAGCATGATGCAAAATGGACGTGTCAGTGGGCGTGTGGATGTGGGGACCGGGGGCTGCCTGGCGGAGCCCCTCTCGACTGGAGCTGGTGGAGATCTAGGTGGCTATGGTGGGCAAGGTTGGCCTTTTGCGGCTGCCCAGGTGGCCAGAGAGTTGTCGGCTGCCTTTGGTGTCCCCATGGGCATCTAAACGACCAGATCTAATGCGGCAGTCCTCGCTCCTCTTGGTGGTGTTGTCCAGCAGTTGGCCGGAGGCACCACCGGACCCTTGGCCATCTTTTTGCCGATGTTGAGCCAGGGTTTGTGGGTTGTTTGGGGAGACGTCCATGCGTTATTGTGTTAGTGTAAGGGTGGTGGCGGGGCTCCTGGTCAGTGGTGGTGGACGATGTCCGGTGGTGCGCAAGTATTGGGGGCTGACTTGGTCTGCGCTGGCGCAATTCTTCGCGTTATGGTCCTCTTGCTTGCTACCGGTTGGTGGCGTTGGTCTGGGTTTTGCTCTTTGGGCACGATTGTATCATCATTCGGATCGGCGACGTTGATCTTAGATTTAGCGCCGCTCAAGCGGGCCAGCAGCCATCGGTAGTCACTCGGCTATCCACCGAGATGGGCAGGGGATGCAGGTGTGGGTGCTCCCTATGGTGGGGACGCCGACCCAAGCTCAGTGACTGATGCCAGGCTGGAGGTGGAAGGTGGTGCCTTTTACTTCTACTATTGGGGTTGGGTGGTCGTGATGGTGATGGTTGGCGGTGCATAGGGGCATGGATGCCGAGGCGGTGGTCCTGGATGACGGGCTCCACGGTTGGCTTTCCGGCAGGCCTAGAGGTGGTTGCACCTTTTGGTCTTGTGGGCGGCAAGGAGTGTAGTAGTAGGAGGAGGCCCTAGTCTGCCCTAGCAGTGCCCAGATCTAGTGTGGATGAGTCGACCCTCATCGTGATGGTGATTGAGACACCTCCTTTAGTGGTGGCGAGTGTCCGAGCGAAGGCTTTGCGTTTCTGACGCTAGCGCCGATGGCGCCTGTGGGTGTCGCGTGCTTCTTGAAGACGTTGTCATGGACCTCGTCCGTGTGCCAGAGCGTCGGGTGAAAGCTCTAGTCCGTGGTTGGACTCGATAGCGGCGACACTTCGCGCCATCACCTTCTTGAGGAGGTTGCCGTGGTGCTCAGGTGTCTTTGGTCGGGCCCGACTTGGTGTTGGGTTTGTTCTAGTTTCATGTTTTTTATGTGCTTTGTAAGTGTGTCTCCCCACTATATTATATCATTCGGCCGTGTACTTTATCATGTGGTTGCTTTATATATAAAGCTGGGCGAAAGCTTTGAGGAGGAAGTTCTCATCATCGACATTCCGCCTTGTGAGAGTGAGGCAACATATAAAGCGGGGCGAAAGCTTTGAGGAGGAAGTTCTCATCATTAACATTCTGCCTTGTGAGAGTGAGGACGGGGGAGCAGGAGCAAGGTGGGGCGGGGATAGTCGTGCAAGCTCAAGGCGGGGCGAGGAGGTGCTCGAGAAGGAAGCGAGAGGCGGTGGAGGGGTGTAGGTCCAGGGAGGTCAACCGGGTCCCGTTTAATACCATTTAAACCACTATATAATCTACCGTTTAAAATTTTGTTTTTCTTTCCGAGAAAATAAACTATGAAGCTAGGTGAAGCTAACTAAACGGGACTTGCGGACATCATTTATTTGCCATTTACATCCAACCCTTGCTCTGGAGGCGGGTGCGATAGACCGGGCGAGAGAGAAGAATCAGTCCGCCGGGTCGGAGTCATCCCAAAATCGTGTCTTTTCTTTTCTTCGAAACCCTAAACTGCGTGCCTAAACGGTTAAGAACGCTGGAGTCCGCCGCCGCGGAAGCTTTAACTTGCACAAATATAACAAGCCGCCAGCCTACAACGACGTTCCATACACCACGCGTGCACTGACGGCGGCGTTCCGGCAGCCTGGTTACCAGCCTCCTCAGCCATGCACGTCGACCCGCCGCCACCAGCAGCTAACTCGCACCCGCCGGCGCCGGAGCCGTCCGGCTGGACGCGGCAGAAGGACAAGCTGCTGGAGCTGCTGCTCCCTCGCATGTACCCGCAATGGGATCGCATCGCCGAGCACCTCGGCGGCAAGACTCCGGACGAGGCGCGCCGGCGGCACGAGTCCTTGGTCGCCGAGCTGCGGCGCGTGCTTGAGGCGCCAGGGGTGGAGACGCCGCCCGAGTGGGGTTCGCGGCAGCCTGCTGGCCGTGCGCTGACCGGCCGCGAGCCGGCGGTAGCCGCCGTCGGCCATGGTAAGCGGACCGGTGGAAAGGAGGATGCTGGCGCACCGGCAGACGGCGAGGCGGCGTCGGCAAGGGCCGGGGGTGGGGTTGGAGAGGGCGCTGGGGCGCCGGCGCGCTCGGCTGGCGGCGATATGCTGGGAGGGACACGGAAACGTGGAAGGAAAACGAAGGACTCTGCCCACGAGAAAAACAGGGCCGTGCCATGGACCCCAGACGAGCACAGGTACGTAACCGGTCGCGCTACGAGACCTATAATCTTTCTGTCCCAAAATAAATGTCTCAATCTTATCTTAGTATAATTTTTTTTATTAAAATTAGTATAAAGTTAAGACATTTATTTTGACACAAAGGAGTATTTCGTAGTTGTCTTGTTAGTTTTTTTATTATGGAATTGCTTTTGAGTTGGACCTGAATATCCAACGAACTTCGGATTTTTAAGCATGACAAGTCAAACGTTTTTTATGACAAATTATGTTCATCCAGGATGAACATTTTAGTTAACGAGCATGGTGTCCTAGTTCATTTTTTGTCAGAAAATAACGTTCTATCGAATTAAATTTGCCATCATTGCGTCAATATAAATTGCCATGAGAAAGTTTAATTTGACATGCCTAAATCTGACATGAAATTTTAGCATTTCCATTTTAATTAGTTTGGACTCTTAGATGTTGTTTTATCATTAGTTTTGAATTCTTGGCACACGAATCAACGATGGAATTACCCACGCCCCCGACCAATGCTGATCACCTGATTATCCGCAGGCTGTTCTTGGCGGGGATCAGAGAACACGGCGTAGGCAAGTGGCAGAAGCTGGCCCGGGAGTTCGTGCCGACGAGGAACGCGTCCCAGATCGCGAGCCACTACCAAAAGTACAACATCAGGCAGGAGAAGCTACGCCGCAACGAGTGCAAGCGGCCGAGCATCCATGACATCAACGACGACGACGCACCGAGCCCTGCCGGCGAGCAGTCAGCTGCAGCTGCAGGCGAAGCTGGAGGTGGATGCTGAGTCGTCAGGTGGGGACCACGGCCGTCTCCAGGAATTTGAGGCCCCGGGACAAAATGCAAAACACGGTCCTAAACTTTGAAAATTGTATATTTTTTCAGAAAATATTCTGATATATTCATCAAACATTACAGTAGTACAAAGAATACAAAAGGTAATAGAAATTATATCCATGTCCATAAAGCCGAAGAAGCGCCACCGGCATCGCCCTCCTTCACTGAACCCGGGCAAACTTTATTGTAGTATAGATAGTTGGAAAGTCGTTGCGCCAAGATCCTAAAGAAACCAGCGCACCAAAACAGATACACGAAAACAGACTAACGAAGACTGGATCCAAATAGATCCACGAACACAAAAGACCGGATCATTTTGCTTCAAGGATACCTGATGCTTTCTCTGGTTTACCTGCTAGTACTGGGTTGGCTTTATCTTCAGACAAAGACATGACTAGTTTTGCTTAACCTGACTAGTTGATGTACTAAAAGAAGTTCCTATGGTTTTAATCATGTGTAGTTGCTTAATTTTCTTAAACTGAGACTGTACAAGAAGTCCAGAAAGATGTCAGTCAATTAATGTAATTACTGGATATTGTACTCCCTCCGTCCCACGTCCCATAATATAAGAGCATTTCTGACACTAGTATAATGTCAAAAACGCTCTTATATTATGCGGCGGAGGGACTAGCTTTGTACGCTGTTTGGTTTCATTCAATCTGAAATGGAATGGGGGGAAACCCCTTTTATTCAAAAACAACAATAATTTGGTTTTCTATAAACAAGTTTGACTTAGAAAACCCAGAACTTCAATTAGGAGGTAGTAATAATAATTTGGAGGCGTCCATCACTATGACACTTCCGAGTTGGAATCATGTTCAGTCAACTAGCATATCGATTTTTACTGATTCTCGGATGCAGTTAACCAAGATATAAAATAGGACGATGCATGCAGCAGCCCAATGTCCGGATATATCAGAAAGTTTACCAACTGTTGGCAAATTCAGAGAGGTTAGTATGGACTACTGAGGATTGCGACAAAACAAATAAAACTGTAATATACAATTTACTTCAAAAGTTACTAGGATAGCCAAAACTCAGCAGACCACTGAATACAAACACATGGTGGCTAATTGGCCATGGCTGCACTTGGCCGATGTACATGCCACCATGCGCCTGAAGACAAACACACGCAGACTCTGCTACAATTTCTAAATCCAAGGTCCCCAGACAGTAGTATCACGGCTTGCAACAAGGTCCAGCTAGCAATAACATCATATTACAGTCCTTGATCAGAAGCCGAAGAAACCAAGCTCGGTCGCCCTTTCCTTCTCGAAAGTCTCGAAGTATTGGTATATGATGGTGACAGCGAGCAGTATACCGGTTCCTGAACCGATTGCACCCATGAAATCAGCTAGGACTGTCAACGCGCCAATGCACACTCCTCCAAATGCAGCAGCAGTGGGGATGTATCTGTTCAACTCCCTCTCCAAGTTTGACTCGCGATGGCCTGGCATCACCATTTGTTGTTCCTGTTCAGTTGCCAAAATTAGAAGCTTTTTCAGTCAGCTCTTGCATTCATGTGCAAAACCAACTACAGGCAGTACATCACTGCATATAACAGTTTTAGTTAACTAGTAGCTACAAATGGTAGATATCGATGCCCCTAGCATATAACTGAAACTTCTAGGCTCAGAAGGCAAATAATAATGGTTCACTTAGCACATCTTGTACCAAAACACTAGATGCACAAAAATAATGGCATTTTGTAAACTATGTCGCTCAGAAATATTCTTTCCAACAAAGTCCCTTGGAGACTAATCTTAGTGGTGCAACAATCTATCTACCATCACAAAAAAATGATCCATCTAAAAATCAGCTGTACATTCTACATTTGGTGTACTTCAAATGTATCAAATGATAAAACTAGATGATGCTCATCCAAACAACATGTTCTACTGTTCAGACTTCAGAACAGTACAGTGTAACACCATAGATGAAAATATTTACTGAGACAATCTTACAAATCAATAAATGACAGATACAGATCCTGCATCATAGAGGACTAAAGGCAAGGGTTGTCATGTAATTTCTCATGGCATCCTATTAGGTATAAGTAAAACTACAGAATGACATCAATCAGTAACATTTTGAATAAATTTTAGAACTACAATTTACAATGGAACACAGCCAGGAACAGTAAGTAGTAGATGGAAGAACTTTACTTCCACCTGTTTAACGGGTAGGACATATGCCAAAACATAATTAAAACTATATGCAACTAGAATTTGCAACTATATGCTATATGTACAAAGAGCATTTACCTTGAGCTGCCTAGCAACATCCCTCGCCGATGAACCAGAAACTTCGATCCATGTCTTTGAGAAGAGAGCGCAAGCTGACAGCATGAAGACCACATAGAACAGCGCATGGAATGGATTTGCGACAACATCAGCCAAACTGCACGGTTTCCAACATGTTCAGATAAGTATATCAAGAACAGTGTGTGTTGTGACGGAGTAAAAGAGACCAAAAGCATGATAAGAACAGGTTAATGTAAAAAAAACTAGTTATCCACCTTGATGGGGCAGTTACATAGTATGCAAGACCACCAACGGGAATAGAATGGCCTGAATACTCAGATTCCTTCCATATACCGAGAAGGTTAACCAGGAAGTTGCCACTGAACTTCTTGTAAAGAAGCTGCAATAGCAATAAAAAAACGTGTTAGCACTTTCACATACATACAGCAATTTAGAACAAAAGCACTGGAATCAACATTAGTACCTGAGATATAAAGTAGAGGTTGGTAATCAGCGCAGAGTGCAGGATGATGGGCATATTCGATGTGTAAAACAGTTTAATTGGATATGAACCCTGCTGCCCACGGGCATTCCTTGATCTCACTGGAAGCACAACACGGAAGCCTTGGAAATAGATAACAATGAGGAAGACCAGGACAGTAGCAAGTAAGTTGGTCACGTTTGGAAGATTCTGGCGGTAGAAAGCCTCACGTAGGGCACGGACTTTGTCAGTTCTGGTAATCAACAGATGGAACAATCCAATGACAGCCCCTTCAAATTCAGCACCACGTCCGCTGTTGATGGTTGTGGGGCTAAACGCCTTCCAGATGATATTCTCACTGTATGACAAAAGTTTACCATGAGCCAATGAATCACAGAGCAATATTTGAATGACCAAAGTGAAATAAAATTCAGTAAGGTTACCAGATGTTGGTAGCGATGAATAGAGAAATGCCAGAACCCAAACCATATCCTTTCTGGAGAAGTTCATCCAGACAGATGACAATGATGCCAGCAAAGAAAAGCTGAAGTATAATGAGAATAGCATTCCCTGTTCCTAGTTGGCTTACACTGCCATACATTCCAGACAAGACATATGCCACAGCTTCTCCAATAGCAATCAGGATACCAAGCAACTTTTGTGCACCATTCCTGAGTAAGAAAAAGGTACTATGCATCAGAGGACCATCATCGGATACAGGAAACAAGAGCAAGGGATCTTTTAATTATTCCCGTTTCTTATTCCTTGAATAGATGTTAAGACTTTTCACTGATCAGATTATTGGAACAGAATCAATCAACATGTACACAACAAGGAGATATTGCCATTTTAGTACTTACAGAAGTGCACGATCCTCTCTCACACTGTTGTCAACTTCAATGATCTTTGATCCTACCAGAAGTTGCATCACCATTCCAGATGTCACAATTGGAGTGATACCCAGCTCCATAACAGTACCACGGTTTGATGCAAGAATAGCACGCAACCAGTAGAAAGGGTCAGCTCCAGTAGTTGAATGGATGCCATAGAGCGGGAGCTGGCTGCACACTAGGAAAATGAAGAGGGAAATAACGGTGTAGATGAGTTTCTCTCTGAATGGAATTCTCCTATCAGCACTCTGTACTTCCGGTAAGAAACCCAGAAAGGGCCTCACAAGATGCAGCACTCTAAAGCCGCCAGCCATGGTCCTGTGTTGACGAAAAGAAAAATAAATCAACATTTCTCGATGCAAACAGAAAACTGAAGTACAAAGTAACCTGGAAAACTGTACGAAACCCTCAACTTGGTAGAACTAATATAGCAGACCACAGGCAAAGGCAACAACTGATTATAATTTAAGTTAAGAAGGGTCTATTTGACTGGAACACGAGTGAAGCTACCAACATTGTAATAACATCTTACATTCAGGGTACAGTAAGCCTAAAATTCAAGAGAAAACACAAACAGAGTTCAGTACAAATCAGCACAGGAGTGTTGCTTCAAAATGTGCAGGCAGGATCCTATGTTCGCTACATCAAATAATCATAATTCTACATCACGGTTAATAGGGCGAGCGAAACAAAATGCCCACTGCCTCATACGAGCAACGCGGGCTAGAACCAATCTGCACGAAATAAAGCCTATGATTCGCAAATATCTGAATCATTTTCCTGCCCATCTCAGTAACATACAGAGATGAATCACACGCCGAATAATTGATCGGAGAAAACTACTAGTAGCTAGCCACTGTAACTCTCACCAATGGAAACCTAACAGCTCAGATTGATGTTATGATGACTACTGTGCACGCAATGATCGTCAGCCTAGATCCTACCTTCCCAATCCCGACGAAGAAGAAAAGGCCGGATGCCAGACAAATTTAGCTAGCACCACTACCGTGTAAACACTCGTTCCATGCCACCGGACCAGCTGCATCTCCCATCATGCAGCTAATCGATGCGAAATCGCAATTCTAACGAGCAACGGCCGAATCTGAAACTCTGAAACTGCAGGCGGGAGAGGGGAGGCGAGGAGGCATTAGCAAGCGGCCTTACCTGGCCGACGGGAGACCCGACGCCGAGGGGAGAGGAAGGCTGTTCGCCGCCGCCGCCGCCGCGGTTGACGAGGGGGCGTGAGACCCAAGGCCGAGGAAGGAGGGAGGGAGATGCCGAGGAACACGAGACGAGAGTGCAGGAAGAGGAGCGCGTGGGTTTTAGAGGGAGACGCACGGGAGCAGCAGGTGGGGGCGCGAGGCGGGACAGAGGGCCGTTGGCACTCGGGGCCGTCGGATCGGGAGCAGACGCCTCGGATGGGGTCCTGTGACGTGGAGCAGGTAGTAGGACTAACAGAAAGCTCGCTATGCGTCTTGGGCGAGGACAAGGGTGTGGAAAAGGCACGCTTTAAGGTTGGGGGATGACATGGCGGCCTGACCCAGTTGTTTTGTGCTCCACGTGGCTAGGCACATTTGTCTGTGCAGCAATGCTACACCTACGAAAAGGTTTTTACGTACCTTACGTATGGGATAATTTGGCTGTCTTTGATTAGACATTAGTGGAGGCTGGGGCCCACCCTAAGAATTAGGGGGAGTGTTTAGTTAGATGGAATAGAAGTTTACGTAAGTCACGTAACAGCCGTACGTAGGTCTAGCATTTTCGATGCTACACCTACGTACAACTTCTACGCAACGTTCGTAATCCCATTCCCCACTAATCAAACTGCCCCCCTGATTTTAAGAGTGGGCCCGCGTCCCCAACTAATGGCCAATAAAAATATGGCAAATCAGCTCATACGTAAGATACGTAACAAACATTACGTAGGTATAGCATTACTCCTACTTTAATACTCCCAACAATTTAACAAATTTGTTATGTTTGAAGTGAAAATTAAATGCCGCATGCTAGGCGTCGGTCGCACCGGTCTAAATTTGGGCCGGCCACCGCACAGCCACTCGATTAAGCGAAACACAACCGTCTGATCTGGTTCCCGCATCATCTACTTCCCTTTGCCCCTCGCCTTCTTGTGCGGCGGCACCAGGTTGAATGCCCGACCATGGTTGTAGCATTCGTCGTCGCTGGCCATCGTCCATGGTTGTAACATTTGTCAAAGGGCTTGTAGCTCCTTAGCACGTCGGTTGCAACCCTCGTCACGTTTCCAGCCAAAAAAGATGTTCGCTGCAGTTGTAGAGAAAAAAATCTAGGGAAGACGATGCTTGATAGACGCATGATCCTTGTGGATCAAACATGACGCGACGGGCCTAAGACTCGCCTGATCAGTAATACAGAAACATTTACCAAAGTAAATACCTAGTGCAAGCACGATTGCCTAATTTAGGGCCTATACATCCGCGGACACATTTGCGGGCAGTGCACAGGCACCCCATATTTTCTCTTCCGCAACCGTCGTCCTCAAATATCCGCCCCCAAGTCTATACAAATGCATGCAACATGAGGAACTTCACAATCGGTAGCCACGACCGCATCCTCGGAGGTGCGAGCACAAGCACCCTGCGCTGCCCGGGAGTAGCAGGGGCTGTCAATGCCGGGCCCAAATGATCGCCTTGCCGCCTGACAGGGGAAGGCGTGGGCCGACGCGATGCTGTAGTTGCCCCTTCAGGGCGTCAAGGATGTCGTTAAGGAGGAGCTCCTGCCCCTGTCCATCTGCGAGTGGCAGAGAGCAATGTGGATCGTGAGTTCCTTGTAGTCCGACGAGGATGAGCTGTAGTCCTCCCTGGCAAGCACCGCCCAGTCGATCTCATCGGATTCGCTGTCGGATCTATTGTGGGCCATGGTGGAGGAGAGGGGGAGGAAGGGGAGACGGATAGTGGAGTGGAGTGGTTGAGAGAGTGGGTGTTTGACTAGGATTTACCTTCTGGGTAGGATATTTATGGGGACAAGATGGGGACAACGTGAGGCAAAGGCGCTTTCTCATCTTGTAGACCTGAAATGAAGGGGTACCCCTGGAAGAGATTCGGTAGAGCATGTGGCTACGGACCACGGTGTTGAGGGTTCGATTCCCTCTTCGAGCCAGCGTGGGCTGGTCTAATGTGGCGGTGGCGTCCGGTCCGCTCCATATCCAGCCCAGATATGGGATGGGCATGGGGGTGCCGGCCAGCCCAGACGTTTGGGCTGACTATGCATGGTCTGGCTGGGTGGCGCTTTTCTATCTAGTCAATGATCGCACAGGCCGCCCGAACGTTTGTGACAGATAAGGGCCTGGTTGTAGATGATCTTGGGGCATCTACAATGGTGCTATCTTAGCAGTGACACGTAAAATAAGTAAATGTTAAGATGGGGTAAAGAGAAATCACAAGATTTTTTTCTTCTCTTAGTTAAAAGATAATCTCTTAGAAGCAAATCTCCCATCATATTTTAAAATAAGTACATTTTAAGAATAAGTATGACAAGATTAAGAGACAATCCATTGTACACCATTTTTTCGCAATCTCTAGATAATGCGCGGGATTTAAGACGGTTGTGGTGGTCTAGCCAGCCCAGATTCAAGCATCACCTCTACCATTAATTTAGGCATAATTCCTCTTTTATTCAACTTATTTTTAAGTCTGTCTAATCATTCTAACCGATAATAGAAGTGGGTATATATACTCAGATGGAAGTGCACATGTCAGAGAGTCAAATAATCATAGGCCAGTGATAGGCGCCAGTGATGAAGCTATGTACTTAGGGTAGGATCATAGGCCTGACCTAGACTACCTCCCCAAGGACTTCACCCTAAAGCCAGCAGCATTCAAAGGGTACCATCATCCACTCGACCAGAGACATTCCACTCGGAAGAATCAATGTCACTCGACCGGCACAGAAGTCACTCGACAAACAGAAGATCTGAAGCCACTCTACACAGCTACAGTCGGGCGTTTACTCATAGCCTTAACTACCATTTATAGCACTTTAATATGAACGTTACCTGTAACGCTCCACCTTTATGTACATTGAACCCCGCATAACGGAGGGGAGCTGGGGTCCTGGCGCACTCTATATAAGCCACCCCCTCCTCCAGGACAGGGGTTCGCATCTTTTGTAAACACACACACACACGCATATAATCCAGTCGACCGCCTCAGGGCATCGAGAAGTAGGGCTGTTACTTCCTCCGAGAAGGGCCTGAACTCGTAAACTTATGTGTACAACTACTCCATAGCTAGGATCTTACCTCCTCATACCTACCCCCATTCTATTGTCAGTCTTAGAACCACGATAGTTGGCGCCCACCATGGGGCAGGTGTCTTAGCAGTTTGTTGGAGAAGTTGCGATTTTTTTATTCCCGTCATCATGGTTTCCGGCGGAGGATTGGCTGAAGGCCGCGAGATCCGTCTCGGCGCGCTTAGCTTCATCGTCGACGACTCCGCTTGGCTCCACTCGACGTCGAGGCGCTCCCCGTCTGCGGGGCGACGCACTTCCGCGCATGCGTCCGCGGCGTCCTTCTTCGGCAGCCGTCGACTCAGTATCAGTCGGCTCCTATGGCGACCTCACTTTTCGTTGCTCGCCGGCGCCAGCGATCCAGTCGATCACGGCTTCAACGGTGGGTGAGGCATGTGGTGGCCCGCCAATCGGCCACCCCACAAATCGCGGCGATCGAGCTTGATGAAACTCTCTACGGCATGTTCGATCTGTCGACTGGCTTCGTTGAGACTGCATCCAAGTGCGACAGCAGCGACCCCGCGGCGGAAGTTTTGATGGTCAATGGACCACGCAGTCCTCCTGGCTTCACCCGTGAAGACGGTGGCGATGGCGTCGGCGACCCATCACATGCCCATGAGGAGTATCGCCCCGAACCCCTCGCTTCGCAGCGGAGGGAAGAGCTCCACCGCCGTAACGTGGATGCGCTTCACACTCCTATCGTTGGAGAAACCCTCGAGGCCCAGGCCTTGGAGGAGGCGCGCCTGGCCAATTTGGCTGAGCGCACTCGACTGGAGAACCTCCAGTGCGCCCTCGACGAGCGTGCCCGGCAGCGGATTCCTGAATCCAGTCGACGACAACTTTTTCCGCCTCCGACTCAGGTATACCGAACTCATATCCAGAATCTCACAGTTGCAGCTCGAATAGCTGAGTCAATTCAACCTTCCCAGTCAGAAGCTGGCCGAGGTTTGATGCAGATCCGGGCTTTGCTCCGGGCAGCGGGAGAGCAGAATACAACAGTATCTCAGTCGCAGAATAGGATTCATAGCAGATATGTGGTGGCAGATACTGTCCAATCTGCTCAAAGCCCAAGATTGCCTCCGCGGCGTGAGGAACGTGGGCACCAGCAAGATCAGTACAAGAACAGTTCACAGTATGATCATCGATTCGACCACGATGACCGTCGTCGAGTGCCCACGCCTCCTCCGAGGAGTGGGTCATACGTGCCTCGGCGGCAAGATGACAAGCGCTCCCACAACGGCGAACGAGAATTCCAGTCGACCCTAGAGAGCCAGGCTTTGATGCAAGATCTATCCTCATTCAAGGTCTGGTTGATAGGAACAAGGCTCACAGAGAAGGCCACGATAGAGATCATCCGACTGGAAGCAGGGTGCATGTTTCAGGACCCGAGTGTTTCAGCAGAGCCATCAGAGTAGCAGTGATTCCTCCCAACTTTAGGTTGGCGACTGGAGTCAGCAAGTTCACCGACGAGTCCAAGCCAGACACTTGGCTTGAGGACTACGAGTGGCTGTGCAGATTGGTGGCGGCAATGATGATGTGGCTATGAAGGACCTCCCCTTGATGTTGGAGGGCTCAGCCAGAGCGTGGTTGAATCAGTTGGCTCCTGGCAGTATATATAGTTGGGAGGAACTTGCTCGAGTGTTTGTTAGGACCTTTGAAGGCACTTGCAAAAGGCCGGCAGGGTTGACAGAATTGCAGTGTTGTGTCCAGAAACCGAACGAAACCTTGAGGGATTATATCCAGAGATGGGTCAAGTTGCACCATACAGTGGAGAATGTATCA